GGATGAGGATGGATGTGAGAAGCCCCGCGGCCACTCGGCCCAGGGCCCCCCCTGGCCACCGCGTCAGCAGCAGGCCTCGGCAGGCCCGGGACGGCACGCCCTCCGCTGCCGGCGGCCAGAATGAAGCAGCCGCGCCTCGCCGCGCTGGCGGCGGCCCTCGCAGCCGTCGACGGCGGCCGCGTGCACAGCCGGTCCGACGGGGGGGCGCGTCCTGCTCCATCATCCTTATTCCTCCTCTTCCTCCCTCTACCTCTTTCCTCAATCCTCCTTCCCTTCTCCTCACATCCCTCCTCCTCCTCTCCTCCTCCTCTCCTCCTCCCCATCCTTCCTCTCCTCCTCCGCCTCCTCCCCACGTGCTTCCTCCTTCCTCCGTACCCGCCTTCCTGGTCTGCCTACCCCCCGATTCCTACTCCTCTACTCCTCTCCTCCTACCCCCTCCTCCCCATTCCTCCTCACTCCTCCTCTTCCTCCTCCTCATCCTCCCTCCTCCCTCCTCCTTCCTCCTCCTCTCTCCTCCCCCTCCTCTCGCTCCTCAGCATCCTCCCCCCGCTTCCTCCTCCTACTCCCCCAGCCTTCCTCCTCCTCCTACTCCTCCTCTCCGCCTCCTCTTCTCCTCCTCCCTCCTCCTCCTCCTCCTCCTACTCCTCCTCCCTGACTCCTCCTCCTCCTCCCTACCCTCCTCCTCCTCCTCCCCTCTCCTCCTCCCTCCCTCCCCTCCTCCTCCTCGCCGCTCCTCCTCCTCCCTCCTTCGCTCCTCCTCTCCTCCTCCTCTCCTACCTCCTCTCCTCATCTTCCTCCTTTCCTCTCCTCCTCACCTCCTCCTTCTCCCTCTCCTCCCCGCTCCCTCCTCCTCCTCCTCATCCTCGTCTCCTTCCTACTCCCTCCTCCTCCTCCTCCTCCTCCTCCTCTCCTACCTCCTCCTCCCTCCTCGCCCTCCTCCTCTTCCTACTCCTCCTCCTCCTCCTCCTCCTCCTCCAATCCCTTGCTCCTCCCCCTCCACCTCCTCCTCTCCTTCCTCATCCTCCTCCTTCTCAATCCACCTCCTCCCTCCTCCTCCTCCTGCTGCTCCTCCTCCTCCTCCTCCTCCTCATCCTCCTCCTCCTCCTCCTCATCATCATTATCATCATCATCATCATCATCATCATCATCATCATCATCATCATCATCATCATCATCATCCTGCTCCTCCTCCTCCCCCTCCCCCGATCCTCTTCTTCTCTTCCTTTTCTTCGATCTCCTCCTCCTGCTCCTCCTCCTCCTCCTCCTCGCGGGGGGGGTAGCCAGATTTTTGGCCGGGGTCGCGAATGAAAAAAACCACCGTCAAACGTCCAGGTATATGTGCGACCATTTGCGAACTCTGCCACCAGAAAGGAGGGGGGGGGGCCCGCCCGCTGCAATGCTGATGGCCGACGACCACGACTACGACGACGACGACGACGACGATGACGACGACGGCGACGACGACGACGACGACAACGTCAACGGCGACGACGACGACGACGACGACGACGACGACGACGACGACGACGACGACGACGACGACGACGACGACGACGACGACGACGACGACGACGACGACGACGAGAGGGGCCGCGCATGAAACAAAGACATCGTCGGATGTCCAGTGGTTCTGCGACCACATGCCAACGCTTCCCCTGCGGATCCAGTCCGCGCTGGTGTATCTCTATGATGGGGTTGACCTGGCTGCGGACATCCATCGGATTCTGAGACGTGGCCTGCAGGAGTAAGCTTTACATGAGGTTGCCCAGTGATGCGGTGAAGATCACCGTGGGTGGCAATTGGAGCTAGGCTTACGGTGACCCTTCCTCCTGCTTCTCGCCTCCTCTTCCATTCGTTCTGCTGCTCCTCCTCCTCCTCCTCCCTGCCTCCCTCCCTCCCTCCCTCCCTTCTCCTCCCTCTTCTCCTTCTCCTCCTCCTCCTCCCTCCTTCCTCCTTCCTCCTTCCTCCTTCCTCCTTCCTCGTCCTCCTCCTCCTCCTCCTCCTCCTCCTCCTCCTCCTCCTCTTCCTCCTGCTCCTGCTCCGCCTTCTCCCTGAGCCGCTTCCTCCTCTCCCTCCCCCTCCTTGCAGATCGGGCCGGCACAGAGAGCTCTGGGGAGGGGCCCGGAGAAGAGCAACGGCACAAACACTTGCCACCGAGGGCCCGCGCGGATTTCTTGCATCCACGCCAGGCCCACCCGGCGTCGCCTCCAGCGCCGCACCTGGCTCGCCCCGCGCGGAAGGGAAGGGGGGCACAGCTCCGATCCGAGGGATCCGCGCGGCCATCCAGAGGAGTCTGTCCGTGCACGCGCCTCGCTCCCCGAGGAGCGGCGCAGGGTCCGAGGCGGAGCAGGAGAGGAGGAGGGGGAGGAGGAGGGGGAGGAGAAGGAGGGCCCCTGGGAGGAGGGGGGAAGATGTGGAGGAGGAGGAGGAGGAGGAGGAGGAGGAGAAGATGTGGAGGAGGAGGAGGAGGAGGAGGAGGAGGAGGAGGAGGAGGAGGAGGGGGAGGGGAGGAAGATGTGGAGGAGGAGGAGGAGGAGGAGGAGGAGGAGGGGGAGGAGGAGGAGGAGGAGGAGGATCCCTGGCCGAGGTCGGCGCATCCAAAGAGATCTCTTTCGCTGGGGGGGGGCGGCCGTCAGGGGGTTTTGCTCCCGCCCCGCCAGGGTCGTGACTGCCGGCGGGCTCCGGAACGCCAGCCGCTCGCAGGCGCGCGGCGCCTCGGGCGCGCTCGGCAACCGTTCGCGGGCGCCCAGGTGCCTGGCAGTGACAAGGTTCAGGCAGTGACGAGGCGTCCTGGATCTCAGTGGGCCCTGGAAACGACAGGGCCCTTTTTTGCCGGTTCCGTTTTGCCTTCTTTTTGTATCGGTTCCGACGCCGTGTTTTTTTACCGGTTCCGTCGCCGTTTTTTGACCGGTTCCGGCTCCGGTTCGAATCCTGCAGCCGTTTTTTTTGCCGTTTCTGGTCGCAGTTTTTTTGCCGTTTCCATTTTCAAGGGTTTTTTTGGGAAACGGTGGAAAAACGGCCCTGCCGTTTCTGGGGCCCACAAAGTCCTGGATTACACACAGGCCCAGCGACAAAGGTTCCATCGGCGGCGGAAGCCGAGCCCTGCCCTCGTCGATCAACGATGCAATGCAGACAACTCGGCGGGCGGCGGGGGAAAGGTTTGGAATTCGCCGAACACGTGGCCAAATCCGAACCCTACCCCCGCCTCCCACCGATTCAGAAGAATCGGTAACTGGTGGTGGCAGGGTTCGGTTGTCGCAACCCATTCTTATCAGCTTCTCTGGTTCGTTGCTGCCTGAGACGGTCCTGCGTAAGGGCATCGAGCTGCTGGTATCAGAACATGATTTCTGTTCTGAGAGCCTTCGTTCGTTCTGGGAGCATCTCGTGGTGATTAGCCAAGACAGGAACACCGGGACGCCGGGTCCCTGCTCAACAAGGGGGTCACCACCCAGGAAGTCGAGGATCGAGGATCGAGGGAGCTTCGAGGCTCGATGGGCCCTCGGGCGCGTGCTCGGGCGCCCTCGGGGGTCCCTGGGGTGGGAGGGGCGTCCAGGGGGGTCCCGTTCCCCAGGAGGTGGTGCCCGACCTCCTCTGTGGTGCCCCCTTGCGGCGCTGCCCGGAGGTACGGGAGCCCCGGGTGCCCGTGCATCGGCGTCGACTACATCAAGGGCGAGAAGGAGGTGAGGCATCACCACGTGGACGGCAAGTCCAACTACGCGGCGGAGAGCGGCAGCAGCTGCAGCACCTGGGATCATGCAGAGCATCCCATGTGCAAGGGCGACAACCAGCCCGACTTCTGCGGCCAGCAGTGGTGCTACGTGGACCCGTGTGACTGCGACATAGAGGTCCCGCCGAAGCCTTCGATTTACATGGACAAGGCGACATATCAGGGGCATCGTGTCCACTACTCGTACCATACCTGCGGCGGTGTCGACACGTGGACACCCGACGAAAAGAAGGCGCAGGCGAGGGAGAACGTCGAGATCTGCGACGAGCCCGTCGACACGCGGAAGTACGGCAAGGACGGCTGCCACTGCGTGGGCATCGATGGACTCGAGGGCGAGACCATGGTCGTCGGATACCCTGGCGAACTCCACCCCTGAAATCCGACGCCGCTCAAGCCATGCGGCACCGCGAAGAGAGTCACAGCCGGAGCCCTAGATCACTCATCCTTCTCAGCGCTCATGAGTCGGGGGTCACTAAAACGGGGGTCAGCCAGAGCGCCAGATTTTGCAGGAGCCTGCAGACCCAGGGGTGTGACCCGGGCTTGCGTTCAGAAACCTGCAGGATCCAGCAGGATCTTGCAAGGCCTGAGTAGCCCGGGTTTGGATTGACCCGGGTCAGTAGATCCCCGATCCTTCTTCGCCAATTCTCGAGCCAGGTCGATCCATGAGGGCTCTGGGGCCGAGACGAGGCGAGAGCGCCAGGTATGAACAACAATGCTGCGCGCCCAGATCTAGACAAGCGCGTTCCGCTACTCGCAGGGTAACTACTCGCAAATGGCCTGGATCCGCCCTGTGGGGGGTTACAATATATGGCAAAGGTGCAGACATATGTTCTTTTAGGACGTTTGCGAGTAGGCACTTGACGAGTAGGGGAACGCGCTCAGTGAGGATCTCTGGGACTGGTCCTCAGCGCTGTGTCTCAGGACGGGCCTCGTACTCCGACGCATCGATCGGTTTTCCTTCCGCCTCCTGCTGCTGCTCGGCGGAAGGCTGGCGGTCGGAAGACGGGGGGGAGGGGGGGGCGTCGCCGGTGGAGGCCTCTGGTGGAGAGCGGCCGGAGTTAGAGCCCCCCCCCACGATGTGTCAGCGCGTTTGAATCGAGGACTTCCTAGGGGAGGGCTCCCCCCGCCCTTCTCTCTCTCTCTCTCGGCGGCGCGTACGGGTGACCGCTGTCGGAGGCCTTGGGCCTGGTGCCCAAGCCCATATCGTCGGTGTGTGCTTCCGCCGAGGGAAGATGGTAGTGCTCGTCGCGCTCCTTGGGTGGCGCCGAGAAATGGTCGCCAGCAGCAGATGGCCGGCGGGGCTTCTCAAAAGCCCTCCGCCCTTCTGAGAAGTTTCCTGCATCTTCGGGGAAGGCTCAGACGTCTTCTCGGAAGGCCAGGGGGCTTCCGAGCCGAGGCCCGCCATTTCTCACCTCCCTCCTCGGCGCGCCGCCGAGAGGGGCAGCCCCAGGGGCGAGGCGCCGCTTCCTTCCGGGCCTCGTCCGCTCGCGTCCAGCCCTCCTCTCGTCCCCGGCCGCCGGGCGGGCCGAGAGCAGCGAAGAGCAGCGAGACAGAGGCCCGCCGCGTCGGAAGGCTGCCACGGGCAGAGGGGGGTTACGGGGGAGGGGGGGCGGGTTCTCAGAAGCACCCCTGCTTCTCAGAAGGCGCCGGCGTTGTCTGCAGATGCAAGGCCTGCGCCTTTTAAGAAGCAGGCTCCTTCTTCTAAAAAGCTCAGCCAGTAGGCTCGCCAGACCTGATTGCGCCAGGGACCAAACACGACCTGTCGACGCCGAAGTTGATAGAATTTGGGGGAACAAAAGGACTCGGAGGTTGACAGACCTCCTATCCCGACACGTCGATTGAGGAACTGGCCGTTTTCGGTTTGCGAGAGGGCGTCGCGGCCGTCATTTTTGCGGGTCCAGGTCCGTCTGTGTCGGCCCCAGGCCGTTGTCATCAAGGGGAGGTTTACGAAAGGAAGGTTTGTCCACCGTAAGGATCTCCACACCGCTACTCCACGGACTTCTCGCGTGGTGAATGCGGCGATGATGTCAGGGCGAGTCCAGCCTCGGCGGCGAGGGAAGGGCAACAGCATCGGCCCTCGACGCCTTGTGTCTTCTTCAAGGGCTCCCACGAGGGCGCGGAGTCATTCGCGCTTCGCGGCCCTCGTTCCTTCTCCCCCTCTTCCTCGTCCTCCTTTTCTCCCTTTGGGGGGGCGGCGCGAGAGCGCGAAGTTCTTCGCGCTTAGCGGAGCGCGAAGCGCGAAGGTGGGAGCCCCAGCTTCTTGTCGTTTGCAGTGTGGCCCCATCTCGACCCGTTCCCTGGGACCAGCTTGCCATCGCGAGGCCTGGCAGCAGCCCCCCCAGGGCGCCGAAAATCGCCCGAACCCCGTCCGGTCGTCTGAGCGTCTGGGCAAGTCACGACGTCGGGGGGATCTCGGCACTCTGCGCAGGTCAGCGTGGAGGGCAGGGCTCGGCCGTATCCTGCGGACGTCGGCTCCAGCTGCAGCGCCTGGGACGACGGCAGGCACCCCAACTGCACCGCGCACGACGCACCGGCCTGGTGCAAGGAGCCCCGGGGGCGGCCCAGGCCGCAGGATGGTCTAGGTTCGGTGTCATCCCCAGACTCTCCCGCGTCGTGAACAGCGGGAGGTTTTCGGCGAATGTCGTCTCTCTCTCTCTCTCTCTCTTTCTAGGGCCCGCAGCAGAGAATTTGGTCGAGACCTCTAGGGGTCCACGTTGTGAAAAGAGCACGGCGTCGGTGATGGCCCAGATTCGCTGTCGTCGTCCCTTTCCCAGAACACTGCGTGCACTTCAGGATTATACTTTCTCTTCCAATGCACTTGGTCACGATTTTCAATGCCAGGGCCTGGTTGTCGGTCCGGCCAGCTTGTCGCCGCCCGTCGATGCGGTCTTTGGTCACGATTTTCACTGTGCGAGGCCCGCACTTTGCATTGCATGGCTTTGCATCGCTTCGCAGTGCATCGCATTGCATCGCATTGCGTTGCTTTGCTTGCATCGCTTCGCATTGCTTTGCTTCAAGTTTCGTTGCACTGCGTTGTGCTGTTTTACATTTCATTGCATTACATTACATTTCTTGTTGCATTGCTTTGCGTTACTTGTCATTGCTTTGTATTGCTTTGCATTACTTTGCATTGATTTGCTTTGCGCTGCTCTTCATTATGTGATTTGCATTGCGTTGACTTGCTTTTCAGTGCGCTGTATCGCATTTCATCAAATTGCATAGCTTTGCACGTGCTTGCGTTGCTTTTAATTGCTTCGCGTTGCATTTGTTTGGATAGCTCTGCCTCGTTCTGCATGCCGTTGCATTGCTTTGCATTGAATTGCTGTGCATTGAATTGCATTGGTTTGTATTGCGTTGCACTGCATTGCTTTGCGTTGATTCGCATTGCTTTGACTGCTTTGCATTGCTTCGCATTTCTGTGCAGTGCTTTGAACTGCTTTGCGCTGCGCAAGTTGCACCGCATGTATCGCACAACATGTATTGCACCACATTGATTGCCCCACCTAGACTGCACCCGATACATTGCACTGTAACGCAATGCAAAGCAAGGCAAAGCAATGTAAATCAATGCAAAGCAATGCAACGCAATGCAACTTGATGTGAAGCAATGCGAAGCACTGCGAAGCAATGCAATGCACCGCAACGCGAGGCAGTACAATGCAAGGCGGTGCAATGCGATCCCGCGCACTGCAAGGTGATGCACAGCAACGCAATGCAAAGCAACGCAAAACAGCGCGGCGCAGGTGCCAGCGACGGACGGGTGCGACGGGCGGCGACGGCGGCAACGAAGGCGGCGACGGGCGCTCACAAGCAGGCTGGGGCGACACCCGGGGACCAGTTGCGGCGGCGACGGACGGCGGCAACGGGCGGCCACAAGAAGGGCCAGAGAGGGCCCCATGGCCCAGTTTATTCACCACGCGAAGGAAAAAATCCCGGAGTGCCAGCGCAAGGCATCGCAGACGTGCCGAGCCTTGCAAGGACGTGGGAAGCATCGCAAGGCAACGCAGAGCATCGCAGTGCGCAGCGATGCGAAGCAGCGCCGCGCAGGTTGCGGGTGCGGGCGGCGGCGACGGGCAGCGAGCGGCGCGGCGGACGGGCGCGACGGGCGGCGCCAGGAGCTTAGACCCTGGGAGGGACGGCACCGGGGCCCACTTACCACGGCGGCGCACGGCGGCGACGGGCGGCGATGGGCGGCCACAAGCCTGTTGGGGCGGCGCTAAGGCCCAGTGACCTTGCACGCTGCGGCGCGCAAGCACTGTTTGGGGAATGTATCCAGCAACTAGAAAGCGAGTGGTACGTGTGTCTATATATATATATATACATGTGTCTATATATATATATATGTATGCACACATTGGACTCAAAGCGTTGCAATGCAAAGCATTGCAATGCAGTGCGGTTGAAATGCAATGCGATTGCAGCACCGCGTAACGCAATGCGATTGCAATGCAGTTCCCAGTCGACGGGCGGAAACGGGGCGGCGACGGCGGCCACATAGCCGCCAGACCAGCACAGCCGATCAGTTCCCTAGACCAGACGTAAGAAGCTTTGAGTGCAAGCATTGTTTGGGGAACATCCGATCGAACAGGAAAAGGGCACGAGTAAGCGTATCCTCTCGGATTTTCTCGTGAGTGTCGTGGATCGTGAAGGTCGTGGACGCGCTCCGCGCGCCAGGGGGGTCAGCGCCGATCCAAGAAATTCGCGCGGAGCTCGAAGCATGTTGTTTATGCGTGTTCCCTGTTCTGCAAGAGTAGATGCCCCGCTCGACCTACGTCTGGCCGCGCTAGAAATAAGCCGTCGACCTTTTCTGAGTCGCTGGTTCGCCCAGTCGGTTCTGAGTTCGCGGCTTACAGTCGGACCAAGACTTCCGCGCGGACATGCGACAGTTATTATGTTATGCAGGTTTGTTGCCTACATCTCTCCTTTCCGCCCTCATCCTCTTCCTTCTGTGGTGGCCTATTCCCCCTGATTATGCAGCCTTGCTGCTTCTACAATCGGAAATCGATGATGAGGACGGGGAACCTTCCCGGGGGAACTCTTGAATCCTTGCCTCTTCGGTCCATGTCCACCCCTTTCAATGGCAAGCCCCGTTAGAGAAGCTTTGGCGTGGGCGTCCAAGGCCCTGGCATCCTCATCGCGCATCCTTACCATCAGTTATGACAGTATGGGCGGGAGGAGGGGAGGATGAGGAGGAGGAGGAGGAGGAGGAGGAGGAGGAGGAGGACAAGGAGGAGGAGGAGGAGGAGGAGGAGGAAGGAGGAGGAGAGGAGGAGGAGGAGGAGGGGAAGGAGGAGGAGAAGGAGGAGGAGGAGGAAGAGGAGGAGGAGGAGGAGCAGAACGAGGAGGAGGAGGAGAAGGAGGAGGACGGAGAGGGGCTGGAGGAGGAGGGCGAGGAGGGAGAGGAGACCGTATGCTCTTCTTCCCTCGTTCTCTCCCCTCTGCCGGCCCGCCTCCGGCGGCAACGCCGACCGCGGCCGTGCGGCCGGGCGGCGCGCCGAGCTCGCGCCCTGCCTGCGCGGCAGGCCGGTGACCGGCCACCGCGGCCACTCCGCCGCAGCCACGCGCAGCAGGGGGGGGTGCAGTGGAGACCCATGCCAAGAGACACCCTGCAAAGGATTGCAACAAAAACCCAGGATTGCAAAAAAAACCGAAGGATTGCAACACAAACCTTTGATTAAAGGATTGCAAAAAAAGGATTGCAAAAAAACCTGCAATCCTTTGCAAAAAAATGATTGCAAAAAAAAGGATTGCTAAAAAAGGATTGCAAAAAAAGGATTGCAAAAAAAAGGATTGCAAACAAACGTTTTTTTGCAATCCTTTGCAATCCTGCCTCCAGGGTGCCCCTGGGTTTCTATCGGGTGTCGATGGTCTGACGGTGGGCAGGCGTGACGCTCCCACACCAGAATCCACGGACGCCCTGGGGTCTCCGGGTTGGGCTTCCTTGTGGACGGTTTCTCGTGGTCGAGACCCTACTGTATGTGGGAAGGGGGAAGGCTTTTCAGGAGGCTGCTTCTTAGAAGGCGCGGGCCTTGTCTGCAGATCAATGCTCCTTGGAGCCTCCGAGGCAGTGTTTGTGTTTGCAGGTTCGCCCGGGGATTCGGGGGAGGGAAAGAGGTAACACACCGGTGCCCTCGTCTCGTTCTCCCTCTTTTGGGGCCTCCCGGGGGGCCCGCGTCGCCACGGGAGCAGCGGCCAGGGAGAGGTCCGGGGAGTAGCGGTATCTAGGGGGCCACATGCGAACCCTACCCTTGCCCCCCACGAGTTCTGAGGGGCAGGGTGGGGTTCATTTCATTCGGGAGCTCCCGAACGAAGTGAACCTCCCCCCTCCTCAGAAATCGTGAGGGGTAGGGGTAGGGTTCGCATGTGGCCCCCCAGGTACCTTTTGATTTCACGCGGGTTTTGAAATGCAGTTTTCCTTCTCTGTCGGTATCGCGGCTGCGTCGTCTGCCGCGGCTGCGGAGTTGCGGCGTTTCAGGTTCTGTTGCCTGTTATGATTCGCGCGATGTCGAGAGGCGTCCGTCGATCTTGGGCCGCTCAACCATGCATCCAATGTTCGCCCAGTTAAAGCCCAACAGGGCTATTCTTTCAGAAAGCACCCACGTTATCTTACATTCAATGGAGAAGCGGGTAACTGTCGTCACACCTGTCTGCGCCTTGGATTGCAAGTCAGTGGAGACACACTGCCCTTCCCCTGTCAGGTGAGAAGTGGGCAAATCTCATCTCTGCAGCCTCTCTGCCGAGAGCCGCAAGGGCTGCTCGAGGCGGCCGCGTGCATGTCAAGGGATGCGGTACTAGAGTTAAGGCGGGCCTGTCCCTCTACAGGGGGAAAATTCAAAAATAGTAAAAAATAGTCTGGGGACTATTTTCTGCGTATTTTTCGAGCATTTGGGAGTAGGTATTATTTTTTGGGGGGATGTTTCATTTTTCGTCGAAAAAACCCCTGTAGGGGGACACGCCCGACTTCATACTAGAGGCGGTCCCAGGTCTCTGAGGCGGGGACTCATTGTAGCTGCCGCACTTACGGAGAAACGTGAGGGGGCGGCGGGGTCGTCGGCGGTCTGCGAGGTTCTGCAGAAGTGAAGACGCTTGCCGCAGGTGCCGGTTCTTTGTCACCCACACACACAATGTGCACCAAACCTGCCGCGAGCGCCTGCGGGTTGGTCGCGGGTGGGTCGCGGGTGTGTCATTGGTGGGTCGCGGGGTCGCAGGGTGGGGCCCGGGTGGGTCGCGGGTGGGTCGAGGGTAAGTCGCAGCTGGGGTCGCGGGGTGGACGACGACAACAAGACAACAAGAATCCGCGTCGCGGCACACACACACACACACACACTTCAGCCACGGTGTTGTTGACCTTGCAGTCAGACGCGGGAGTGAGGAGCACGTTGGGTGCGGGCGGGGCGCGGGTGTCCCGGCCGCTCCTCTGCTCGTAGGTCGGGGCACTGCTCGTGAGGACAGCTCGGAGGTCAGCCCGGGCGTTTGCCCGTGCAGCGGCCTTCGGTGTCTGCCGACGGCCAGTGGTGTCCAGCGGTCTTCTGGAGCGACCCGTCCTCCAGCGAGCACATTCGATGCGCGACCCTGAAGTCAGAACTATCGGGGCACACAGTTCGTCGATCTTGGAGGGTCCTGAGGTGACTCGGAGCTTTTGCCTGCCACTTGGGCCATCGGGGGATAAAACATTTCTGAGAGGCACCTTCTCGCAGGCTGACCTCTTGCTTGATGTGCCGATTGTACATCCCACTGCGGTGTCAGATCCTCCGAGAGGAGCGCTGGTGCTACGTGGACCCCTGCTTGTGCGACCTGAAGACACCTCCTCAGGAGTCCGTGTACATCGAGAACGCGGTCTGGCAGGGGCGGCCGATGTACTACTCGTACACCACCTGCGGCAGCACGGACCACTTCACCAACTCCCAGGAGACTGTTTTTGTTCAGGGTCCGGCGATAAGCCGAGTTATCTCCTGCTCGTACGCCACTCCCCCCCGCTCGCCGGGTAACCTGACCTTGTCGGTTGCGCTGGCATCCGTGGGGCTGCCCGAAGCGAACAGGTTGGGTTTTCGGCTGGCACCTACACCCCCAGACGTTTCACCTCCCGGCGCATCGCCAACAAACAAAACAGACAATAGTACTAAACATGATGCCCAGGGCAGCACCGCCTGCACGCAGTACGCGGACAAGCCGTCCTGCGAGAACGACGACAACGAGCGTTGGTGCCAGTGGGAGCCCGTCCGCGGGGTGTGCCTCGGTAAGGAGCTCATCGTCGTCTGCAGCGGCGACGCTCACGCCGGCGACCGCCACCGCGGCCACGAGGGGGCGAGCCACGGGGCTGGCGAGGCGCACGAAGGCCACGCAGGGGCCCCATGCAAGCGCGGACTGTAGACTTAAGTCGGGCTTGTCCCTCCACAGTAATTAGGAGAATTCAAGAGTAGTCTCAACATAGTCTGGGGTCGATTGTTCGACCTTGTTTGGGTATGTCTGAATGTTCTTTGACCATTTGTGATGTTTCCTGCAAGCTCCGCCTGTAGGAGGACATGCGCGACCTAACTGTAGATCGGAGGAGGAAGAGGTCCTCATACGGCTAGTTGCCCTTGCCTCGTTTTCCCCTCCGTGGGCCTCCTTGGAGGCCCTCGTCGCCCCCGCTGGATTCGCCTCGAAATTTTGGTCAGACCGCACTTTGGGAAAGGTCCAGTGAGTAACGGTATCGGCATCCAGTAGAGAGGGCGCCCTGCTTTTCGGGAGGGGGCGGCCCCCTGCGTATCTGCACAGCCCATGCCGAGCTGCC